TTTAAAATACGAACATATAAAATATAATTTTCTTGATTCATAGTTCGAAGCAAATTATCCATAAAAAGATAACAAACATTGTTTGGTATTCGATAGTAACTTAATTAGAAAAAGCAAAATACATTTTGTGCTTTAATGTAAAAGATCTCTGGAAAGTTAAAATAAAAATGAATTTTTAAATTGTTGTAGTTATTTAGATGAAAAAACGAGAGACGTTACAAATAAGATGCTGAAACCAAGCGTCGTAGAGCTTTATTGCAAAACCCTAGATATAGATTCGAGTAGAAGTAAAAGTAATTTACTTTTACTTCTAACAGTAAAGTTTGTGAAGTAAAAGTTATAAATCAATGCAATCCATGTGGTTGCGTTTTTAATCGCTAAAACATATATCTGCATTTGGATAATGTCACGAGACTTGCATGTTTATGGTGCAAAAGAAAGCAAACAAGGTAAACTGCTCTACAAAACTATTATTTTCTCTTATGAGAAATTTAAGGTACGTTCTTCGGGGAATATTAACCACGTAAAGGTGGCCAGCAAGCAAGTACTTTCTGCGAATTTGGCCTATGCAAATACGGGTGAACAATCCGGGCAGGTTGAGTTTGCAAGCCCTCGCCTAGTGAAAAAGTTTGGACGCCCCACGACGAATACTAATTAAAGACTTGCGGAATGAAATTAGTTAGCCGAGGGTCGGGGGTGACTCTCGAGGATGGACGATGGAGTCCTCGACTCGGCGACGAAGAGCCGCTTATGATAATATAATAATACTTACTTGGGGCCTCGGAGTGCTACCTCCAAGCTCATTATGCGTTTAGTTCATAACTTCAATTGGATTCTTACTATCCCTACCGAGCCAAGGCTTTCATCCAACCGTTGTCTCAAACCATCCTAATTATACAAGTAATTACTATCGCGAAAGAGAACGTTTCAACTCATTCATGGCTACGATGATGCTGCATAAGCAAAGATAGTTTATCTCTTTTGCAATTCAAATATTTTGTTTGAGATATTTGATTAAAATTTATTGTACTTGTTATAATTTCGTTGCAGTAGAAATACAATATTGTAAATTTCAAAATTTAAACGTTTCCCTTCTTCCATACACTTATATTCACATTTTCGATGATTATAATTTCCTTTCGTTAGTATCATATTTGGTCATCTCAATTCGCATTCAATGCATTTTGAAATGCGATTTACGACTTACCGCCGGTAAACGCGTTTTAGAAAAGAGAGAAGAAAATATTTGTTGACCCCCATTGCTACGGGAAATTTTCACAGGGTCCATACTGTCGCTCGCCGGGCTTTGAAATCAATCTCAGTACTCTGGGAACATGATAGTACGACGCGAGTAGAACTTCTTCCTTCCTCCGCCTTGGTCTATTGAAAAAAGGCTCTTGAGTCCATCTCAAGGTATCGATTAACAAACACTCGAACAGCTAGTGCTGCCTTTATAGAGCCCGCTTTGCAGAGTAACCGCTCGTGGTAAAGCCGTTTCGAGCTTTCCTGAATGGCATAGTGAAAGCTTTCTGTGCGAACGACTCACCGAGTGTTGCACAAGAGGCGGACCTTTCGAACTCCACAGAATAACGCGACCGTGCGCATCCATTTGTGCGCGGTAGAATTTCGCCGACCTAATCGAATTCCGGTTGCGTCGGCGAAATTTCCGCATTCGCGACCGACGAACGCGATATTTAATTTAGCAGCGCCGATTTGGTATTCATGACGAGACATGCTATGGACGTAAATATAACGCTTTGACGGAGCACTTGGAAATATGTATCGATCCTTTGATTTTCTTTTTCAAAATTGAACCGATATTCTATTTGCCGGGCTGACTCTGACTGCTTTCAGCTTTTGCCATCGAAAACTTCTACTTAACATTTTTTTTTTTTTCCAAAACGAGTATGTGCAAAATATGAATAAAGTTATAATCGCATTTTCTTATTTTTATATTCTTCGATTATTGGTAATGTAACCGTTCTTGAAAAAACTATATATTATATTTCTATACATCATATTTTCTTGTTCATCTTCTTATAATTCCTGGGAGTAACGTGATAAAGTAAGAAACTTGATCGAAAACTTGATCTATTTTGATGCAAGATTGTGTAATACATAATACATTGAATTACACCTGCATTCGTTTGCAGGGACAATTGAATACTTTCACCTGCTATGTCAAGAAAACTATTTATCACGATAATAATCATGCTCTATGCTATATTTTCGTATGCAACAAAATTCTGGATCGTAGTATGTGAAGGTACTTACCTTCCGATTTAGGTGCAGGAGGTTTACGAGTGGCCCAATTTGTCCGAATACTTCTGCCACCGAGCCATTGGCCATTCATGTTGCCGATGGCGCTCTCTGCTTCCTGAGAAAAGACAACAGAGAAAATCAATATTTTCTATCGCAAATTCTAAAAGAAAAATTCATATATCAAAAGCAAAAAGGGAATAACTTTGATAATTATTAAACGTCAAAAGTTGCGTAAGTTTCAATAATTATTCTATTAACTTTTGCAAATATATGCTTTGTTAAAATTTATAATATTTTATATTACTATTTTTTTAATTATGCATTCTCTCTAATTTTCCGCAACGTTGCTTTTCGATTTTACAATAAAATATATTTTTTACATTACTTTAGTGATACATCGAATTTTATCCAGTCTTTGTATTATTGCATCGTTTCATTGATTCACTTTTTACGATCAAAGGAGTCGTTGATTTTGCAAAAAGGTATTCAGATGGAAATACAAAATATTTTCACATACACCATAAACGGTCATTTTATTTTATAATGCGTATGAACGGATACAATTACAGTTAAATTTGCAAAATTCTTACATTACAATTCTATGTTCCTGAAACATATGCTAAAATATACAAATAAATGTGTGATACAGAATAGAACGTAAAAACGAAAAAGAGGTATAACTGGTAATTTTGTAAAATTTATATATAATTAAGGCAAACTTTACAAAAGAATTATAGATAATAATTGCAAAATTATAGAAAAGATAGGATTGTGCGTATTTTCGTATTAGGAAATGCTTCTGCGGGATTTTAGCAAGAGACGAATAAAAACGCATCGTCGTGCAGTGCTTCCGTGAAAACTCCTTTATTGTCTCTCGCAACGTCTATAACAACAATTGCGGTGCATCGTAAGAAGTGCTACAACATCCGCGCGAGACGTCGCTGCATTCACGCGCAAAACCGCGGATAAAACCAACAGGTATGTTGACGTCAATATTATCCGCGACTTATTGTTGATTCAGCCGCGGTATCCCGCCAGCGTGGCCCTCAATCCAGGTCAACTTAATATACGTTTTGAAAATTTTATTCGATCGACTGCACTCTTGATTCCTCGGATTTTGGTGAACCGCTTCGGGCGATCCGGGACATTTTCCATTGCGACATTGAATTCCCTCTTCGAGGAAAGGTCGGAAACACCTTTGCAAAGGGAGGAGAACGTTGCCGATGTATACATATTTCTGTGTGCGGTGCGAGCTATTATATATTTGCACGATTTATGAAATGTTTGAACAAAATGCGGCGATATTCGATTCATTTATTTTTATAAATTCATTATGTGACTTGTATATAAAAATACGTTTTTATATCGATGACGAAATTTACGAAAAAAGATGAAGAAGACGCATTACTATTCGCAATGCGCGGCGCTCGTGCGTAAGAAATAGATATGGTATGGCACACGTCATCACTTGCCAACTTGTCATCGTGTATGTACACGTGCGAAGGTTGCGCGACATCGTGACGATAGTATTCGGACGGTAGATTCGCAAGGTAGCTGAGAGGATGGAGACTTAAAAATATCCTCGACGCAACTTTTTCCCCGAAAAAGTTTACTGTTCGAAAAGCTCTTTGAGTATGAGAGGCAGAGGGGATACCCTTGCTCTCTCTCTCTCTC